AGCATAAAAATATTTATTTGTAAAAACAATGAGACAAATTAAGGGCAGAATTTTCTTTAACGAGAAAACGAAAAAAAAATTGGACGGAATTTTTGGCCTGTCAGTATATAAGGCATTAAGCAATAATCCAAGATATAGAATACTGATTAAATCTAATTTCTACACTACAATTTAAATATCGAGAAAGACACATCTATTGTAAATTATCGAGCAAGAAATTAAATTTTGAATAATGGTTAAGGATGGTTAGAAGGGTTGATTAAATTTTGGACTCATATAAACAAAATAAGATTGTAAAAATGTTTACTCTGTACAGTGTTTGTCTTGTTTATGGTATTGAGAGTAAAGAAGAATTCAGTGAAAATAATTCAGTGCTGCAAGAATTTATATTTTATTTACTACATTCTGGATTGTGGTCAACAGTAGGATACAAATGCCCTTTTGCTTCTTTCTCTTCAGGAAACATTTCTGAGAACGAAAGGGAAAATTCTTTCCGTTATCAATCATGAAAGGCCCACATTCGATCGAATTCCACGCACGTTGTGGAATTAAGCAAAAAAAAGCACTTAGCTCTACTGGCTTAAATGGAGTTAATGCCAACAAACGGTTAAAGACCGGTTCCCCATCTGCCATGATATATGGCTGTCAACCCCTGGCTCTCCCTTCTCGACCCATTCTCCCTTTTTCTTTTTTTATTAAGGAATTCATTGGGGGTGAAATCAGCGGACCCGACTGGCATCGGGCCAACGGGAACTGTTGAATAAATATTTGTCTCCCATCCCAAAACCCGGAGAAGACTTCGGCCATTTCACAAGCACGTGCTGCCTCGAACGTTATTCATAAGCTAATAATTCCTCTCAGTCGTTGAATTGGGAATTATTTATCGCCTCTGGGAAGGTAAAACGGATAAACCGTAAAATTTCGACCTTATTTGTGTGTTTCTAAGAATGGAGAAAAAATTACACTAACAATTGGCAACTTGAGCATTCACCCAGAAATAGCTTTACAGTACAAACGTATCTTTATTTTATTTTTTTAAAAAGATTTTGTCCCTAAACAAGCGGCCACAAGTCCTTCTGCACCTCGACCTGAATAGATCTATTGTGCTTCCTTGTTTTTTGTAACTCAATGGGCAGCTTTAGGTTATTAATCAGCCTCCATAGCTTTGCGACTACTTAGTGTAGGATCTTGCTTGAGGTTTTTCTTGTCCTAGTGCAAGAACTTGTTCGTACATAGACCTTCACAGAAGGATAAAATGTGTTCTGCAGTCTCCTCCTCTTCTTGGCAGTATCTCCACAATATTTCTTTTGTCTATACTGCTAACCGGTGCATGTGATTTCTAAAGTGGCAATGCCCTGTCAGGAGACCAACCTTCTTTTATAAGTTTTGCGGATGGTTCTCTTTGCGTGCCACATATCACTGTGGAATTGTTTTTATCAGGTTTTGAAAGATGAATCTTCTTTTGTGGCAGGATGCTATACGATAGTAGGGTTCAGGACCAAGAACGTCAATGTTGCCCCCCTCTTTGACCAACACCTTTCGTTGCCTCTATGGCCTGGCAAAGAGTGTCCAGGGACCCATGGTTGGGGCCGGTCATTAGGATCACTGACATCCGTCAAGACCTCCATGGAGTTCCACACTCTTTGCCTTCACCTCGCTTGCGGCCAGGGCCTTTAGTGCTTCCAGTATATACTCAGAGCCCTTAAAAGGACATGAGGATCTTTCACGTCCGTTCCTAGCCTTTTCGGCCCTACCGGACGTTTTGATTCTCAACATGAGATTTGACGCAACCCTGCTCATGACCGGATGGGTGTTACAGCCGCAAGCGCTGGTATAGAAGTGCCCCGAGGGGCCGAGACGGAACTCATTCTCCGCTTCTTCATTTCGAGTGGATGGGGCTGCGGTAAGCACCATACCTTGTGCCGCATGGCAAAGGGTAACCTCAGATCGCTGAAATGCATCAGCCTGGGCCGTTCCGCCCTCTCCTTATATAGAGAAGGCTCTATCTTCCAGAGTATTGGGGCTCCTCCAGCTTTAGAACATCGGGATTCGCTTCGGCCGCGTTTTTGTTTAAAGTGGAATTTCTAACCACCCTCTAGAGTGCCCTCGGAAGGAAACCGCGAACGGTACCCCCTAGCAACAGGTTCACACTAAGTTCTCGCCAGAACCCTCGCCACTATGCCACTAACAGTCCATTCCCATGTAGCAGGGTTGGACTTGGAACATTTTCTGCTACCCCGAAGTTCAGATGGTTATGCACCCTCCCTGGTCTATGCAGACAGGATCTGGTACCCTAACCCTCGTGTGTCGCTGATTAAGCACCCGCCGTCCGCTCCGGAGACCGACACGACTACATCTTGTGTTTTAGAGAGGTTGCCAAACTCCCAAGGCTACACCATTATGTCTGGATACGCCCCCTTGCATTCACGGGTTGGGATAGGTCTCAAGGAAGAATGCCGAAGGATCTGGATTGAGAAAGGGAAGAGACACGAGGCTCACCTTTTCAGGTTGCACCCCCCCCTGCCACGGCCACACTGTAGACAGCCATTGTCTCCGTAGTTCCACATTAAGTGGGCTATGACTCCCCTGGGTGGGGATAAAAGAGATAAGATGGCCGTTCAAGCGCCAAACGAGTCGACACCATCCTGATGGACGAATCCGAGATTGTGTGACCTCGGATTAAACCTGTAAAGGACCTGATTATCAGAGAACCTATCTTCCAGGAATGTATTCCTAGTCTTTTTATTTCCCTGGTGCAATTTCAATCACTATAACCCCGCAAGGGAAGACTCTTTCATTTTTGGCTGAGTGTTTCATCCTTACTTAGTTCAGGATCCTCTTTTCTGGATACTAAAAGAGTTTCGACCGTCTTTCTCGACGAAAAACCTCCAAAATGTACAGACCTGATTGATTTGATTAAGAGTGCATTTGGGACCGCAGAGAACTCGAGGGACTACCTAATTATTAATTTATTTTAATTTTAGTTTTTCATTGAGGAGCCCTATATGTGTTGGTTTTCATTCTATGTATTGCATACACCAAGATTTCATTATTATTCATTTTATTTTAATTTTATTATGTTAATTTTATCTTAATTTTTGTACGTTTTTCTTCGTTTCAGCGCGAATTCCCTGGCTACCATTTACAATCAATGCTTATTAAGAAATTTTTATTTGTTATTATGTTGTATTTTCTTTTTGTAACTAAAATTATTCATTCATTCAATATAATCGCGAAGGAGATATTATTAAATGATAAATCTATGTATTCGAAACTAGAATTATATTAACGTAAATGGTGTTGAAAAAGTTGGGGAAAGTAAAAAAAAATACGAGCAGTGAGTTAAATCCTGTTTTTTATCGCCTCCGAAAGTGAACCGTGTATATTTGTATAATGAATGCCATAGCTCACCGCGGAGACCTCTCACTTGGAACTTTCTTAGATTTCTCCTCCATTTCATGAATCTTTCATCGCTCATCTATCCGCGGGAGGAGACAGCGTCAAACCATTTCTCTTTAATGTCATGTTTTCGTCTGAGCTACTTCAGTTTTATAACTCGATTTATGTCCTTCTCTTTTTTTTTTTATTTCCGGACTGCTATGCTGATGAGGATCTGCGTCGTTGGATCTAGGGATGGGCAAATCGTGATTGTTATTTGAGAGGGTAGATTTCGTGTGTGAGACGTCAAAGAATACATTTTATGGTTGTTTTGAAATGTTTAATCTACTTTGTCTGGAAGCGCGATGGTAGTTATTAAGCCGTCGAACACAACTTTTTTTGGATAGCAATCATAAAAATTAACCAACGGACTACGATTCGACAAATGCCGAAACTTAACAGCTGATTTCACCCAGACCGAAATAACAATACTCGAGTACACGGAAAGACTAAAACCAGTACCAAGCACGAAGGAGAAATATAAAAATGAAATAAAAACAGTAAACAAACAAAAAGCTAAACGAAACGAAAAAATAGTCAACGACAAATAATTGAACGAATTGTTAAAAAATCAGTTCAAAAATATAGACATAAAAACTACTGAAAACAATCAACACTATTGAAAAAAATCCTTAGCTAAAACAAAACAATTCAAAACAATCTTCAATATTTTTAATACATAAAAAGCTTTATTTAAAAACATACATTACTCCATAAATAATTTACAAAATATTTGACACCGTCTGTCTGATATAAATTAATTTTTTAAAAATAACCACACATAAATTAAAAATACAATAAAATTCAAAAATTGTTATAGAAACGATTGCTTTGAGGTAAAAAAAAAAAACAAATTCCAAGAACATATAAAAAGTGGTCAATAATAGTGAAATTGCCTTATAAAAACAATTGCTCTGTTCTATATTAAATAAATAACAGGGAAAGTAAAACAAAATTTATACTAAACACAGAATAACTGTGGTTGCTGTTTCAAGCCCTCTGACGGGATCCGTGGTACCGAGTGGTTAAGGCGTCAGACTCTCGGCTAGTAGATCCCGCGGTCGTGGGTTCGATCCCCACCGTCGCCTCTGAACTTTGTCTGACGCCTAAGGGGACCGGTGGCCGCAATTGATAAAAATTGACACGGGACTCATCAATGGAAGGTGCGGGATCAGATCTCAGCGACCCTGCATTTGGTCCCAACCCCCTTCTAAAACGAGTTTCTTCGACGGAAGAACACCGGAGACGGAGGCTCAAGTTCACATTTGTGTTGCGAGCCTCCCTCAAAAAAAAAAAATTGGAAAGGTGAGGGTTGAGATAGGAAATGATAGCTCAAGTGGTTGAATAGCAGCGTATCTAGCCGTAGGTCGTGGGTTCGAATCCCACTCGTGATATTGACTTTTTTATCTCAACTAAAAACCTTAATTAATAAAGAACAAATTTTGCATCAAACCTATGAGATAATGGTTTTAAATTTATTATTCACGTTTACCCACCCGTGCCTTATCCGTGTTGATTAAAACATATCCTTCCTCATCTAAATGTAACCAATTTGTACTTACTCGAGTCCTTCATCCAGTAGATGATTGCTTTCGGAGATGCTTCGACGTAACACTCTAACGAGACATCCGTCCCAAGTGGTGCCCCTACCAGTTGATTGGGTACTTGAATAACTGGAGCAACTGTAAAAACAAAAACTCTTATTAGAAAGAGACAATAATTATCGGCTCGATAATTATGAGGAGTTTGACTATTGTTCATTTATACTATAATTTATGACATGTACAGCATATTGCGCTGTAAGCGATTGATAAATCTAATAGGCCAAAAAATCTTCGGCAAACACAGTACGCAAAACTTAGATTTATTTATTAATAGATAGCTAAATATTAGAATGCACATACATGGTAATCATTATAAAATATTACGAAATAAATTTTTTTTGGTTGCTGAAAAAAGTACCGTCATAAAAGCATGATGTTTAAATAAGGCCCCAATATGTTTAATGTCATTTAGTCAATTTGTAAGCTGTCTACTTTACACTCTTTTTTTGCTCGGCAGTGCCTATTTGTAAAAGGCTCAACGTCTATGTTTAAACATATGTCGTAAAAGAGCAAGTACAGAAGTTCCAGATGAACTAAATCTGACTAGAAGCTGTATGTCACATTGGAACATGCCGAAAAAGTCGCATGTTGTGAAACTTATGTTTTATGCTTTTTCAGTAAACTTTTTTTTGTCAAATGAAATAACCGGTTTTAATGAACTGGGAGAAAGTTTTATTTCAACGAGTCAACACGAGGTATAATGTTTCATCTTGGCTACAATGAAATGTCGACCATGCTGAATGAATTGTCCTGACCTTGCTCCTGTTCATCCTGACACACTTATATAAAAAGATCTCACTTTCTTCAAGGCGGAATAACTTCCTAACTTATATCTTAAACACTGGAGTAGAAGATTATTTTGATCAAAATTCAAGACTTGTCACCACCGTGAACAGCTAACTTATATTGCAATTAACCATCATCAACAGAGAATAGTATTTTCATTGTGGCAAATAAAAATTATAAGATGTCTAAAATAATGTATCTATGAACTATTAAAATACGTTCTACGTTTGTCATAAATATTCAATAGTAAAGAGCCTTTTTCTTTTTGTTATGTTCCGGTTCTGTCTATGTTCGTTTTTATGTATTATTTTTGTATTGGACTTCTTTGTTTTACATTTATTTATTCATTTTCAAGCTAGACACACAAAGCTTACACTGCTGATGGCAAGATACCGAAAAAGCGGGGATAGATTAAAAAGATCAGCAACTACCAAATTACAGATTCAATATCCACAAAGAGAAATTTCAGAATATAGTAATACTTGATTAAGGTTTTGGTTGAGATAAAAAAAGTCAGTGTCAAGAGCGGGATTCGAACCCACGACCCTCGGCTAAATACGCCGCTGCTCTGTCACTTGAGCTATCGACCCACTCGGACACTAACTTCCCATCTCAACCCCACCATCCGATTACCTAGCGGGATCCCGCTCGTGACACTGACTTTTTTATCTCAACCAAAACCTTAATTAAAAATTAATTAATTGAAAAGAATTTATTTGGTCAATCGGACCACGTAACCTAATAGATGTAATATAGTAATACGTCCAATTTTAACGAATTATTTATAATTTTAATTACTAAAATAAGTAATAATTTTTGTGCTTTTAAAAATATTTATTATTGAAATAAAACATAAATAAATACAAAATTTTATAAAAGATGGGCATAAATAGGTGTACAGTTACTATATATTTTTTGAAATAATTAATATTGAACTAGAAAATTATATTTTTATGGGTGTATGGTTTAAGAGTAATGCTGCGGGGGTTTGTGGTTGAAAATGGGTTATAGTTTTTCGAAATTATAAGTACACTCACGACACACAAAAATGGCACAATTACGCAGAAAACAAACACTTTGAGCCCTGAAGATGATCTCAGTAAAGATCGAAACGTTAGCACGTTAAAGAAAATGTTTTTCCAAAACCTACCTCACACCAGACCGCATCTCACGATTTCCGAATAATTATAAGTACATTTAGTTAAACTGTACTGGCAGTTCCTTCACTTTAAATTATCAACAATATTTATTTATTGTTGTGTAATAACAGAAGGGGAAAAATAAAGTTTTCATCTTGGGATTCACTTTAATTTAGGATTACCATGAAACAATTGCTCAACTTAAGGGATATTTAAAACGATTTAAGTTTTCAAATTTATAGAAGTTCTTATAAAAAAAAAAAGATTTGTTTATGGTTCAGATGTGTATTGAAAAATGACTTGATATATTTAATTTAATTGTTACTTATGAAAAAAGAAAAAAATAGATAATGTGCTCTGATCTACAATTAATCGCAAAAATATCAGGTAAACTGTTACTTAATATAAAATGTATTGTCTTGTTTAAAAGTTCTTTGTCTAATAACGAGTAAAATAACCAATAATCCAATTAATGACAAAAAAAGTTAAATTGTGCAAACAATTTGTGCCTTGAGTGCACTTCAGTTTTGTTTTCGTAATGGCACATAACAACGTCATTTACATAAGGCTTCATATAATGAGCTCTAGCTGTCTGATAAGGACCGCAGCTTTTCATTTAGTTTAAACGCACAAAGGGAATTAAATGGGAAAATTCTCACTGGCCTATATAATTTAACATAATCCTATTCTCTCTAGTTCAATTTGAGCCGAACTTGTGAAAATGTTCAATATTAAAAAAACAAACGTCGGGTAAATTTATTGTAAGTAATTAGCATGGGATTATCCATTAAGCAGACGAGTATAAAAGAAAGGAATTTTACTTTTAAATATACATACAAAATACATAAATATACATTGTGAAAATAAAATACCTACTAGATAACTAGATATTTTTATGAATAAATGTTTTTTTAATGTCTAATGTTTAAATTTAATATAAGCTTGGTACCTTTCTTTAGTTTATTACTATTTATTTTTAATTGGCACTAATTTGTCTTTTCTCGTTGTGTACTTTATTTAGATCGGATTATACATTTTACTGTTTACTTATTTTATTTATTTTATAATAAAAAAGTCTCGCTGTAAAATATATCAATAATTATAATAATATAATTTAATATTTAAACAATTATCACACCTTAAATACTAGTTTGTTAAAAGTTCTGGGAACTACTATATTTGTGACAGATCGAAAATTACTTTCTGATATTTTTTCCTTAGGCCAAAATCTCCACACATTTTTTTCTTAAGACAATTGAGTATACAAATAATGGATTTCATTTCAGGTATTTTTTAAATAATAAAAGATCTGTTACAATTAGAAAAAAAGCCATTCCTGTTTGATTAAAATACAATTCAAAAATACATCTTCACATTTTTGTACGCATTTATATTTGATTAAATTACAAACTGGAAGCTAAAATCTTTTCCCACGTTTTCAATTGTTTTTCAATTTCTCCAAAAGCTTCATTAGGCGTTTTTTAGATTGAACAATTCCATGGATGAAAATTACTTTGACGTTGAAGCAGGTTCAATTAAAGAAATCGATAACTTTCCAAGAACCCTGGTGAAAATCAAACCGAAGCCCTTTACATGAAAGCTTAAATCTGCCTTCTATATATAGTTTACAGTATATATAGTAAACTGACTAGATTAAGTAAGCATAATCTTTTTGCTAAAAACGCCAAATCGTACAAAACCTCTAGAATTTAGCCAAGTTTTGTAAAACTAACTTTGCGTTATCTTTGTTATTTTTGAATATAATTTTTTAGTAGTTTCGTTTTACCTCATACAATTTTGTTTTTCACCTTATCGCTTGTTCAGTTTTCCTGCGGTTCTGTAAATAACAGTTTTTATTGACTTAAACTATCGAGGTATTAAATAACTACTGTCTATTTAAACTTTAAAACTATTGTTAACTAAAATGTATCTTCATCTATTTTTTATTATCTTTGCTTTAAGGACACACAAGACCATCTTATTTATACGAAAAAAACCTCCACATTGGTGAACGTTAAAAAAAACACCGGTTTGAATGAAATCCGTGTTTGTTCATATGTGATGAACCGTTGTACGTAACAGAACATTGCAAAGTAATTCACTAGTTTCGTGGTCCGCTTGACCAATCAACATCTTACAATTAATTAAGGTTTTCAGTTGAGATAAAAAAGTCGATGGCACGAGCGGGATTCGAACCCACGATCTTCGGCTAGATACGCCGCTGCTCTACCACTTCAGCTATCGTGACCTCGATCCACCCGGACACCAACCTCCCATCTCAACCACGCCTTTTTAAATTTTCCCTCCTTTTTACCATTTTTCAATTTCCGCTCGTGCCATTGACTTTTTTTATCTCAACTGAAAACCTTAATTAATTGTAAGATGTTGATTGGACAAGCGGACCACGAAACTAGCGAATTTAATAATTTTAAAGTGAAGTATACCTTCACTAAAGCTCTCCGTGGCAATTTCATTTGTCGCCGAGAATCAAATAGTTTACACGACATTTGAAAAATGGCAAAAATGAATGGTTGAAAACGTGATTTTTCCAGCGCGAAGAAAATCTTAATTCGCGCCGGAAAGACGTCAGTATAGCGTTTCCCCTTTCAAAGGGTTTAGCTTGAGACAATAAGAATCCAACGATTATCACCAATAAAACTAAAAGCTTTTTCGATCTTATTTTCTGTCGCTTTTGCATTCAACATTCAACGACAGTCCGATTTCCCGTTGTCTGGTAAATTATCTTCTGAAGATGTCAAAAGAAAGGACTTGCAGGGAATAATAGTAAATTATAAAGGAACACTTCAGGAACTGCAAGAAGCGTGTTCTGGAAATTAACGAGGGTAAAAACTAAATATTTGAGCATCTCGAGAATCAGTGAATGTGGAGAAAGACAAGTTCAATTTGGAAACCATTTCCCAGTGGGCGGTAAGTTTAAATATCTAGGGCGCTTAAAAACAAAGCATAATGACGTAACGGCAGAAATAAAGGCAAGCATAGCGGTAGGAAATAGATGCAAAAGGCTCTACAGTTCAACGACCTATCATATCAGCCAATGTACGCTAGCGAAACATGAGGAAAGAAAGTGAAAAGTTACGTAGGATACGTAGGATAGAAAGAAAAGTACTATGAGAAATATTTGGCCCGAAGTAT